CCCTCAGGGCTAACTCTAGAGCCCTGAAGGGATAGAGTGGGCACATTCTGGGAGTTGAGTTCATTTGTGCTAAGAGAATTTGGGATAGTAGCCTCAGAGCATGTGCTACTTCCTCTACCAATACAGATTGTGACTCTTCTAACATTTAGCAGGTGGTTTTTGTGCTTTTCTATGGTCAAAAATTTCATCACACTTTGGCCAATCTGGTGACGATCTAGCTAAGTTTAGCTAGATGTGCCCTCATCTAAAAATATGTGGGTCTGTCCCCAGCCTATATTCAAAGCCTTATCAGCTTGGTAGACCTAGCCCAAATCAACTTAACAGACACTTTAGCTTTAGAGAATACAGGGTCATTTCTACAACACAATGTGACACTGTGGATGAAGACTTCAGTGGAGGACATGTCCTCCCCAAAAACATTTAGTTAAACAGAACTGCTGTACATAAAGGAAGGGGAATAGTTTGGATTATTATTTTATGTAGCAAATGAAGAAATGGTATGGATTGTGTAGTGCTCCAACTGGAAAAGGAAAGAAATGGGTTCACTGAATCTGATGTTTGATATGAAAGAGTAAAAAGAAGCAGAATGGCTTAAGAAAATCTGAGGGAAGTCAATGATGGAGGCCAGGAACAAGTGGGGAGACACATTCTTATGGGAAGGGTGAGCTTGTGCAAATTTTGTTGTCAAAACGAAAGTGGCCGTGGACAGAACAAATTGAACCAAAAACATAGTGCTGTTGTTTCCTTCTCTGACAAGAATTCAAACCACATTTTAAAAAAAGTCATCTCATTTCTTGTAGCACACTGAAGCTTCTTTGTTTTTAATCACTTCTTTCTATTTTTCCCTTCTGGTCTCATATCAAGTTCTGCAGTCAACTGTATTCTTTTAAAGGGATTCTTCCAGAAGACTCTCTGAATGACTTTTCTTCGATTTATACCAAACTCAGGAGATGGGAATTCATTTATTTTTCCCACAGTCATCATAAACTAAACACCACACATAACTTCAATACTGAAAATGCTCCTTTCTCTTTAAATGCGACAGCTCATTCCTTGCAACCAGACCTGCTAAAAACAATTAAATTAAAACAACATAACATAACATAACAAACTCGTAGCACACCCAAGCTGCTTTGTTTTTAATCCCTTCTCTTTTTCCATTCTGGTCTCATATCAAGTTCTAGTCAACTGTATTCTTTTAAAGAGATTCTTCTAAGAGACTCTCTGAATGACTTTCCTTTGATTTATACCAAACTCAGGAGATGAGAGTACATTGATTTTTCCCACAGTCATCATAAACTAAACACCATACACAACTTCAATACTAAAAATGCTAATTTCTCTTTAAATGTGACAGCTCATTCCTTGCAACCCAGCCCTGCTGAAAAAAATAAAATAAAATCAACTTAAATGGAAGCACATCTTAGCTGAACAGCATGCTTTGCAGAGATTCTTAAGAGGACTTGGCTTGGTTTTAATTTATACCAATTTAGATAGGCCCCATCCATCAAACTGCTGATTAAGTTTAAGTAGGCTGAAGTTATGTTTATGCTTAAAAGGCAAACATTCAATATGTCCTGACATAGTCAAGTGTATAATAAGTCTCTGCATCCCAGTAAAGCATCTATTAAAAAAAAAAATTCCAGGAGAATGTCTCTCACATTCTCCCTTCCTTGTGCAAGAGAGGAATATGCTTCTTTTTTTGAAGATAGGATCACAAGATCATAGATTTAGGTCAGAAAGTGATGTAAGGAGATTGTGGATGAGGTACTAAAAAGAAACATAAGTGCTCAAAGGATCACAAGCAGTTTATTAATTACAGCCATGTAATCATGCAGCTCCCCAGCCCTGCATTCCATGGACAGCACAGGTGGTGGCATGGGAATACTGTGGGATGCATACCCCAGTTAAGAGCCCCAAATCTCCAGGTTCCAGCTCTTAAAACAAATTTTTGTTGCTGGGCAGATTCATAGGGACTCAGTGGGAAAGAGACCTTAGGGGCAATCATCACTTGGTCTGGACTACAACCTCCCTTTATTGACCTTCAAGGGCAATTAGGAATATTTGTTAACCTTGCACACCTGGATTAGCTAAAGTTTGCTGAAGTTTGTTTGAAATAAGCAAAGCTTTGAATTCCTTGACTAAACATGGCTGACTAAACTAGTCTTGGGCACATAGAAACATCCTGGTACACAACTGGGTCAATTAGCAGTCAAACACCAAGTCACTTCTGTCATTTACAGCCTAGCAATAAGCCAATCCTCCAATGACCTTAAAAATCATCTAATTCAACTGCCTCATTTTATAGCCAGTCAATACGAATTTATTAAGCAGTCACTATGCACCAGGTACTTTGCTAAGCACTTGAGGATACAAAGAAAGGCAAAGGACAGTCCCTGCTCTCAAAGAGCTCACATGCTCTTGAGACACTATGTAGCAAATGAAGGAATGGTATGGGTTGTGTAGTGCTCCAACTGGAAAAGGAAAGACATGGGTTCACTGGATCTAAAGTTTGATATGAGAGAGTAAAAGGAAGCAGAATGGCTGTCACAAGAAAGTCTGAGGGAAGGCAATGATAGAGGCACTATGTAAAATAACTAGGTATATTCAAGACACAGAGTAGAAAAAATGTGATCTCAGAGGAGAAATCTCTAACAGCTGGTGGAACCAGGGAACCTGGTGAGTTTAAAAATGAGTCTTGAAGGAAGAAGGGGAAGCTGAGAGGCAAAAGTGAGGAAAGGGGGAGCATGGGATGCATGAGGGGCTGTGAATAGGAGTAAGGGCCTAAGCTTTCCAACTCCTCCATAAATCTTTCCCTGACAGAAGACTTTGACCACTTCCTGTACGAAGTTTAGCCATGAAATTCCCACCGACATCTTCATGGATCTCAATGCTATGCTTCCTCATCCTTGTCTTCAGCCTGCATGGACTGCGCACCCAGTTTTATTCCACCTTTCATATATCTATTATGTAGGCATCCCCACTATCATCGCTGTTGAACATACAACTCCTTCACCTCTGTCTTTTGGAATCCCACATTTCCTTCAAAACATAGCTTAGGTGTCACCTCCAACAAAAAGTCTTTTCTGATCTTCCTCAGCTCTCTCCATCTTGAAATCTTACTGTCATATTTTGTATGTACTTTGTATTTCCTAATCTACGTACATGTTTTGATTCCCCAGTAGATCGTAAAATCTTTCAGTGCAGAGATTGTTTTGTTTTTATTTCTCAATCAATTAACAAGCATATATTAAGCATCTACTACATGCCAAACACTGTGATTAGAGCTAGGAATTACAAAGACAAAAGAGAAAAGGTCCTTCCCTTTAAGGACCTTACATTCTAATACAACAGACAACAAGTGTAAACTGTACAACACATATGCAAATTAGATACTAGGTAACCATGAAGTACACACTGTAGGCATTTAATAAATATTTGTTGAACCGAATTGTCTTGATTATAAGCTTCTTGAGGGTGCATCATGTGGTTCTTCTCTGAAAAGTACCCTAAATATCATCACATTCACTTAGGAACTAAGTAAATGTTCTTAGGTAATATTAATAATGAACATCCCTTTAGAGACCCATTTAATTATATAAGAGAGACTAAGACGCTAGAAGAGACACCTGCACAACTACTCTGTACAACCTAAACCACATTTCAAATTATTTTTATTAGCTGCTGTGCACGATTCTTTTGCTGAGATCCCTGGCTTCAAAGCACTGTTTAATGAACAATTTTCAACCATCTTAATTTAGGTGCTATTCATTAAGCATTTAGAGTAACTGATACTTGCAGAAAGCAGGCAATTTTGTAGGATCTAAGAAAGTTGCAACCTTTGACTAACCAAATAATTTTTCTGGTTTATTTGTATCAGGTCTTTGGGTCTAACTTGCTTCCCATAAACCATCCCTGATGAAACCATCTCAGTCCTTTTCAAACATGTAAGGATTAGGATAGGGACTGGGTCTATGATTTCACTGCTATGAAGAACTCCCAGATGAGAAAATTCCCTCTACCTGTGCAGGTCAGCCAGCACCTTAGTGACTGGTCCAGGATCACTTGCCTAGACAGTATGTTTCAGAGGCTAATCTTCCTAACCTCATGGCTATCTATCCACTACAGCCAATGATGTCAAACTCAAATAGAAATGGATACCTGCCAATACATGTTGACTTTAAAAATCACAAATTAATATTATCTATATTCCCTTGGGTTTTTATGTATTTTGTTAAACATTTTCCAATTACATTTAATCTAGTTGGACAGCTCTTAGGGAGTGCTGAGGGCTGCATGTGGCCTGCAGGCTGTTAAGTCTCACACCTCTGCAGCTACATCACGTGGCCTCTTTCAAATACGTACATTTCTTTTTTTAAAATAGTATCTTATTTTTTCCAATTACATGTAAAGACATTTTTCACCATTCATTTTTCCTAAGATTTTGAGTTTCAAATTTTCCTCTCTCCCCTCCCCAAGATGGCAAACAATCTGATATAGGTTATATATGGGCAATCATGTAAAACATATTTCCATATTAGTCAAAACATGTACATTTCTTAACTTCAAGGCTATGTCTTTCTGCATGACACCAAAATTATCTATTGATTTCATTAAAACTATTCAATTCAATGTGGAGAAAAAAAGTTAAAATTAATTGCTTGATGTCTGAGTCCAAACTGATAGAATTTTTCACCCCCAACCAGCTGTTGAAACATCTATATAAATAGCCTATAAATAGGAATATTAATGGACCACACTTGTGGGGAATGATAACACAAGGTGTGAGCACCTTTTTTAAAAGGCTTTTCTTTACTTGCATGAAAAACTAATGATAGAACAGATTCTCTGAGCCACATGAAGAATAGTGCTATTTATGTTTCTGAAAAATGCACTGTTGGTATTCCTTCAAAATGTTTAACCAAGAGAACAAATATTGCAAACTGCTATCAACAGATGTGCGAGCAGAGATCTGTTCGTAGATAAAATTAACGTCTTACCGGATTAGGAAATTATGAAGCCCAACATCAAAATACCTGCAAGAAATAGAAAAGGATACACATGTCAATAAAAAGTCCTATCCATGAGGGCTAACATGACAACTAAAAAGGGAAAGGGAAGGGAAAGGAACAAGCATTTATTAAGTGCCTACTATCTTCCAGGCACTAAGTGCTTCACAACTATCTTGGTTGAGTTTTGCAACAACCCTGTGAGGTAGGTTCTATTAAGAACACCATTTTGCAGTTGAAAAGACTGGGGTAGAAAAAAGGTTAAGTGACCTGCCCAAAGTCACATGATTAGCAAGTGTCTGAGGCTGGATTTAGTTCGATTCAGGTCTCCCTGATCCCATTCCTTCATTATTCATTTGATGGCAGTTTAAATCTATTAGCTACACAGCTAAGAACTAAATCTATTCTATGAGTAACAGTAACTAATATCTGAAAGGTAAAAAAGAAAGGAAGATTACAGAAAACATAAGATCCTAGAGAAGAGGTGAATCTCTCCGTTGTCACATGTGTGTCTATGTCTTCCGTATTCCTTTAATAAAACTGGTCTTCTATGAGCATGAAGTGATCTGTTCATCAAAACACTCATTACCCTATTTGGGGAATGGATAGAGCAAGGGTTGGGGACAGAGGAAGTTTAAGAGGAATTCTCTAATTCTCTCCCCAGGCTTTATGCATTTTGGTTAATTTATGTGGCGAGACATTACACCTGTCAGATTGGCCAACATGACAAAACAGGAAAATAATAAATGTTGGAGATGTGGGAAAATTGGAACACTAATGCATTGTTGGTGGAGTTGTGAAATGACCCAACCATTTTGGAGAGCAATTTGCAACTATGCCCAAAGGGCTATCAAAATTTGCATACCCTTTGACCCAGCAATATCACTTCTAGAGCTGTATCCCAAAGAGATCATAAAAATGGGAGAAGGACCCACATGTACAAAAATATTTATAGCAGTTCTTTTTGTGGTGGCAAAGAATTGGAAATTGAGGGAATGTCCATAAATTGGGGAGTAGCTGAACAAGTTGTGGTATATGAATGTAATGGAATACTATTGTGCCATAAGAAATGATGAGCAGGTGAACTTCAGAAAAACCTGAAAAGACTTGTGTGGACTGATGCTAAGTGAAATGAGCAGAACCAGGAGAACGTTTAACAGCCACATTGTGTGATGACTAACTTTGATAGACTTAGCCCTTATCAGCAATGCAAGGATCTAAGATGTCTCCAAAAGTCTCATGATGGAAAATGCGATCTACGTCCAAAGAAAGAGCTATGGAGTTTGAATACAAATCGAAGCACACTATTTGCTCTTTGTTTTCCTCCTGTTTTGTTTTGTTTCCTCTTTCTTTTGGTTCCTTCTATTGGTTCTAATTCTTCCTTACAACATGACTAATGTGAAAATATGTTTAATAGGAAAGTAAATGTATAGCCTATATCAGATTGCACACTGTCTTGTGAAGGGAGGTGGGGAGGGAGAGGGAGAAAAATTTAAAACTCAAAGGCTTATGGAAATGATTGTTGATAAATCAAAATTAATTAATTAAATTTTTAAAATTTATGTGGTGAGGTAAAGAGCTGCCCCTAACAAATTTCTGACTTCCCCATCTTCCCAAAATTCTAAGAGCCATTTTCTTTCTTTTTTTCCTCTCATTTTATTTTTTAATTACATGTGTAAAAAGAATTTAACAATCTTTTCCTTTTTAATTTTGAGTTCCAAATTCTTCTCCTCACTTCCTTCTTTCCTTGAAAAGGCAAACATGAAAAGATCAAAATTAATATTACCTCTGATTTCTACTGTATTGATTTTTATAACTGAGTTAGTATATGCCTGAATTCACCTTCTCAGAAATGTAGTTTTCTCTCTGAGTTAGTTTAAAGGTACGGTTGAAAAGTTGATATAATTCCTGCCACTAATTCCTTGGACATCTGCTTGTTGTCTGTAGGCCCCAACCAGATTAACCTGGTGCTACCCTCCAAAAAAACATGTTCTCTGTCCTTGCTTGGCCTTGTACAATTAGGGGAGGTTTAACCTCCCCCAACGGGACAGCAAATTGGGTGCTATTGCTCACCTACCCAAGATTACCAGAGGCAGAAGAGTCCCATAAAACAATCAACTTTCCTTAATTCTCAGAGAGGGGCATAATTAGCTTGAACTTGAATGACAGCCCACCTTTCCTGTAACCAATTGTAAGATTCCAAAACTGCCCAGACCCTCGTCCTTCCCTTCATGTCAGTAAAGAGCCCCCCACTTCTCACTTGGGTTGCTAGCTTTGCTGAGGTTGTCAGAGTGACCCACTTAGTTAACAGACACATCACTGTTAATAAACATATTGCTCGGAGTCTATATCTAAGTCTACCTTCATTGAATTTATACACAACACAAGCAATTTGATATAGGTTATACATGTGCAGTCCTGCAAAACATATTTCCATATTAGCCAATTTGTGAAAAAAAGTTTTAAATAAGTATGCTTTGATTTACATGCCGATTCCATCAGTTCTTTCTCTGGAGGTGGATAACATTTTTTCACCATTTGGAATTGTCTTGGATCACTGTATTGCCGAGCATAGCTAAGTCATTCACAGTTGATCATCATACAATATTGCTATTACTGTGTACAATGTTCTTCTGGTTCTGCTTACTTCACTTTGCATCAGTTCAGGCAATTCTTCTCAGTATTTTCTGCAATCATCCTGCTTGACATTTCTTATAGCACAATAATATTCCCTCACAATCACATACCACAACTTGTTCAGCCATTCCCCAATTGATGAGTATTCCCCTCAATTTCTAATTCTTTACCACCACACACACACACAAAAAAAGAGTTGCTATAAATATCACTGAGCCTTGAGTCAGGAAGACCTGAGTTCAAATTCAGCCTCAGACACTAGCTGTATGAACCTGGGCAAGTCGCTTAACCCTCTTTGCCTCAGTTTCCTCATCTATAAAATGAGCTACAGAAGGAAATGGCAAACCACTCCAGTATGTTTGCCAAGAAAACCCCTAATGGGGTCAGGAAGAGTCAGACACAACTGAAACAAATTAACAACAACAACGATGATGACAAATGTCCTTTTCCTTTTATTTGACCTCTTTGGGATACAGACCTCATAGTGGTATTGCTGGGTCAAAGGGTACATACAGTTTTATAGGCCTTTGGGTGTAGTTCTAAATTGCTCTCCAGAATGGTTGGATAAGTTTACAACTTCACCAATAGTGCATTAGTGTCCCACTTTTTCCACATCTCCTGAATTTGTCATATTAGCCAATCTGATAGGTGTAAGGTAGTACCTCAGAGTTATTTTAATTTGCATTCCTCTAATCAATAGCAATTTAAAGCATTTTAGGTGACTATTGATAACTTTGATTTCTTCTTATGAAAACTGCCTGTTCATATACTTTGAACATTTGTCAACTGCGGTAATGATTTGTATTGGATAAATTTGACTCAGCTCTCTATGTACTTGGGGCCTTTATCAGAAAAACTTGCTGTAAAAAAATTTCCCCCTCAGTTTGCTGCTTTCCTTCTAATCTTGGCAGCCTTGGTTTTGTTTGTGCAAACATTTTTTAATTTAATGTAATCAAAATTATCCATTTTACATCTTGTAATGCCTTTTATCTCTTGTTTGGTCATAAATTCTTCCATGGCCATTTTCTTAACTAGAATACCCTCCCTTCTTTTCATTCACAGCCCTTTCTACCTTCAAAACTCAATTCTTCTAGGAATCTTTCCAAGATTAGACTCTATCTATTATCTTAAGGCCTGAAGTAGAAATCAATTAGAAATGTGCTATTTGTACCTAACTGTACACATCTTTATTTTCCTTTTTAAGTGTATCAATTTATTTTATATGTATATGTTCCCTGTATTAGCTGCTATTTAACAGTGGAGATAGCACCCCTTGTTCCTATTGTCCATAGTGTAGTGCTAGAAACATGGATGACACTCAACAAATTTTACTGGTGGCCAATGTAGCACTCAGGTACCAAATGGTTATGGAATTTCCTAAGAGGCAATGTGGTGCAGAAGATAGTGGCTTCATCAGGGAGACCTGGGTCTAAGTCCTGTCTCTGATCACACATAAGTTACGTGACCATGTGCAAATCACTTAAACTCTCATAGGCATAGTAAAATCTCTAAGTTTACAAGTTCTAACAGGAACTGCAATAGTGAAAGGAGTTTCCATAATGAGTGTTTCCAACAATATAAATGCTGATATCATAGGTCTGAGCCAAAAAATATCCAATATCCTTTGTTTTACCATTAGTAACATACTCTCCTCAAATTCCTGCTGCCTGTATGACATTGCACTGGGCACTGACTTCCAGGTCTTACAACTATTTACAAGCCATGAAAGGGCCGGCATAGAGAGGGACCAGAAAGCCAGCTGGTGTGGGGAAGGGTAATGAGGAGACCAAGGAATGGAGGAGGTATTAATATAGGAGCCTTGAAGCTAAGAGTGAGAAGCTTGGTCATAAAGACACCAGTGACTTGTGACCAAACCTAGGGTCTAGAAATGACCTTAGAGGGTTTTAGTCACAGGAGTAAGGCTTCATCTTGCTTACCCAGCTTCTTGAGAAACCACCATGAACGCCTTGACAATATGCCCAAACACCATAACAAGGAAAAGGAGAAGTAAAGGAATAAGTGAATATGTGAGGGTTTGGGGGGAAGGGGATGGTAAAGACATAAGCACTGCAAAATGCATCCCAGAGTTGGCTAAAGGGGAAAGAGTTTAATGTGATGGAAAAGGGACTGTCTAGAAACCCACTGTGGAAAGGCTTCTCCTCCCAGAGTTTCCTCTGTGCAATGACCTGGGCTCTACTCACAAATCCCCAAATGTGAGGAGAATGAGTACACACCTGGTCTCTGGACAATTTGAGCAGCAGTGGAAGCAGGTACAACCAAAAAGGAGGGAAATAAAAGATTAGCACCCAAAAATAAGCTGGAAAACTTCAAGATTCAAAAAAGTACAAGGGAGACAGTTTGTATAAAAACCTAGGTCACAAGCAAATAAA